CTGCCTGACGAAGTCGAACAAAAGGAAAAAAATAGGAAGAAAAACACCAGGAGGCAAAGACGAAGGAAAGGTGAAGGAGAAAAAAGTGAAAGGGAGGATAAAAGAGGAGAGGCAGAGGGAGAGGGGGGGGGAGAGAGGGAGGGAGGGAGAGGGGGGGAGTGAGGGAGGGAAGGAGGGAGGGAGGGAGGGAGGGAGGGAGGGAGGGAGGGAGGGAGGGAGGGAGAGAGAGAGAGAGAGAGAGAGAGAGAGAGAGAGAGAGAGAGAGAGAGAGAGAGAGAGAGAGAGAGAAAGCAAAGATAGACAGACAGACAAAAGGAAAGATACAGAGATAGAAAAAAAAATGCGGGGATATCGTGACGCGACCACCAAAACGCCCCAATAAAACTGCGGTTGACTCGCAATTGCAAACACAAGGAAACGTAAACGAATAACCTTGGCGCAAAACCTCGAGCAACAAGTAAACAAGCTGGAGAGCGCGGGGCGGATGGGTGCTTTTCCATCTTGCGTGAGAGACGTTTACGCCAAGAAGGGGAAGGAAGAAAGAAAACATGAATAAGAGATGAATGACAAGACACGTAAAAGCACACGTACACATTTACACATTACACACACACACACACACACACACACACACACACACACACACACACACACACACACACACACACACACACACACACACACACACACCACAAAGCGCCTCCCGTTATATATGGCCTCACAAGCTCTCCTGACCGATAAGATTAAAAGCCCACGAAGCACCTTTATTTCTGTCGACGCGTTTATAGGGGGGGGGGAAGAGGAGAAGAGGGGGAAGAGGAGGAGAAGAGGGGAAAGTAGGGAATGGGGAGAAGTGTGGGAGAGGAGGAGAGGAAAAGAAAAAGGAGAAAGTGGGAGAGGTAAGAGGAGGGGGAGGGGGGGAGGAGGGGGGAGGAGGGGAGGAGGAGGAGGAGGAGGAGGAGGAGGAGGAGGAGGAGGAGGAGGAGGAGGGGGGAAGAGGAGGAGGAGGGGAGGAGGAGGAGGGGGGAAGGAGGAGGAGGAGGAGGGGGAGGGGGGGAGGAGGAGGAGGAGGAGGGGGAGGGGGGGAGGAGGAGGAGGAGGAGGAGGAGGAGGAGGAGGTGGAAGAGGAGGAGGAGGTGGAAGAGGAGGAGGAGGTGGAAGAGGAGGAGGAGGTGGAAGAGGAGGAGGAGGTGGAAGAGGAGGAGGAGGTGGAAGAGGAGGAGGAGGTGGAAGAGGACGAGGAGGTGGAAGAGGACGAGGAGGTGGAAGAGGACGAGAAGGAAGACGAGGAAGAGGAAGAAGAGGAGGTGGAGGACGCCCTTGAAGCCCCTACCGCCGAGGCTGGTCACTCGCCCGCGGCCCCTCGCCCCGCAGGCGGAAAAAAAGGTCAGAGCCCCGCCGCCGCCGCCGGTAAACGCTGTCAGGGCGGCGCGCGGGGGGAAGCTCCTAAAATAAGCGCGCTGACGCTGCTGACGTTGCATAAGGCGACAAGCAACCTGTGTCAATGCAACGAGTGGCAACACACCAGCAGCGGGCACGAGGCATGGGGGGGGGGAGGGGATTGAGGGAGAGCGGTGGGGAGTGGGGGAGGGGAGGGAGGGAGAGCGGTGGGGAGTGGGGAGGGGAGGAGGGAGAGCGGTGGGGAGTGGGAGGGAGAGAAAAGGAATGGGGGGAGGGGGGTGGATGACAGCCGACCGGCAAGCGCTCGGCCACTGCACGTGGAGGCCACCACAGACCCGCAGACCAGTACTCTCACCCACCTGCACCGATTACAGGTAAAGGGACACGGCGAGTGGGAGGAAAGAGAGACGGACGGAGAGAAAAAAGGAGGGAGGGAGGAAGGAACAGGAGGAGAAAAAGAAGAGAAGAGAAGGGATGAGAAGAAAAGAAAAGAGAAGTGAAGAGGACTAGGAGGAGAAGAAGGAGTAGGAAGAGGAGGAGGAGGAGGAGGAAGAGGAGGAGGAGGAGGAGGAAGAGGGGGGAGAGAGGGAGAGGGAGGAAGAAGAGGAGAGAGAGAGAGCGCGAGAGAGAAAGTGTGAGCGTGTTGGCAATGATACTTCACTTCCCACCGCTGTGAACGGACGGGGCCACGAGTCTGGGGGCAGTGTCAATGGGAATACGTAACGCGTACCCGGCGCTAATTAAGTGGGTAACCACACCCGGAAAACACGTGGGGCGAAGCGGAGCACACGGAGAAATGTAGGAAAAAAAATGAAAATACAGAATGCAAGGAGAAAAAGAAGAAGAAAAAAAAGACGGAGGGTTCTGGAAATGGAGAGGAGAGGTGAGAGAGAAAATGAAACGAGAATAGAAAAAAAAGAAAATGGAATACATAAGAAAAGGGAATAGAAGAGAAAGGAGAAGAATAGAGGAAAGGTGAAAAAAAGGAGATAAGAGAAGAGAGGAGAGATAGGCGAGACCGAGAGCGTGCTGGGAGGTCGACCACACCGGAGGAGGATTTGAGAAGGTAAGCCTTACAAGCAGTTGGAGAGATACTGCCGGTGAGGGAAGCCATACCCACCTCACTCTTGGCTCTTCCCCCCCCCCCTTTCCCTCCCTCAGCCAACCCCGCCCACTTTTCCCCACCCTCACTCCCAGCCAACCCCGACCCTCGACCCCAACACAATCCCCCCCCCACTCTCACCCCACTCCTCCTCTTCCCTCCCCCTCCCCTACACCCCATCCCCTCACTCCTCCCCCTCCTCCTCCGTACCCCTCCCCCCAACCCCCGCCTGCATCGCATCCCCAACGACACCATAATCTCCGCCACCTGTTCGCCCACCGTCACCATAGCTGTCAACATCATCGCCATCGCCCCCTCCCAACCCCCCAACCTCCCGTCGCAGTCGCCGCCGCTGTGCTGTGCTGTGCGTGGGATGACTTTTGTCGCCTCAGGAGTTTACTTCGCTCTCTCTTCTCTCTCCCCCCCCCCCCCTCTCTCTCTCTCTCTCTCTCTCTTCTCTTCTCTCTCTCTCAATGTGAACTTTTTTTTCGGCCGCAAACTCACTTAATACCCTACCCCCCCCCACCCCCACCCAGCTCACCTCACTTCTAAATGCAAGCTCGCCACGAGAGAACATTCACTCGGGTCCGCGGAAATCCATCGCCAGCCCCTCCCCCTGCTCCCCCTCCCTCCCTACCCCCCCTACCCCCAAGCCCGCCGCGAACGAGAAGCACAAATGTCAAGGTCGACCGAGATTTCGACCTCCTCGCCACGGGCCGAATGCAGGAGGGCCGAGCGGCGGCGGCGGTAGGGAAAGGAACGGAGTATATAAAATTAAAAAAAAAAAAGTGGGGAGGTGTTCGAGTAGTGGCGGGGATGAGCGTGTCGTAATCCTGGAGTTGGGGGATGAGGAGGGAGAGGAGGGAAGGAGAGAGAGGAAGGAAGGAAGGAGAGAGAGAAAGGTAGGGAGAGGAGGGAGAGGAGGGAGAGGAGGGAGAGGAAGGAAGGAAGGAAGGAGAGAGAAAAAGGAGAGAGAGGAGAGAGAAAAAGGAGAGAGAGGAACGAGGGAGGAAGAGAGAGAAAGGAGGGAAGGAGAGAGAGGATGGAGGGAAGGAGAAAGTGGGGGGGGGGAGAAGAGAGGAGGAGGAGGAGGGAGAGGAGGGAAAAACAAAACAATAGGAAACGAAAAATTGAGTAACATCGACAAAAAGAGAAATGCAGTAAAAGAGGCTGCGGAAGAAGGACGAAGATCGGACTGTGAACGAAGCAAGAAGAAAATGAAAGAACGAAGGAAGAGGCAAAAGGGAAGAAAAAAGAAAGACGGAAGAGGCAGAGGCGGCCGAGGAAGGGGGGGTGGGGGTGTTGGTTTCTCACCCAATCCTGGAAGCAAATAACCCAACCCGCGGGCCCCGAGAGGCGCTAATCCGCGGCGGCGGGCGAGCGAGTGCGCCGCCCGGGGCACCCAAGGACACCCCCCCCCCCGCCCAGGATGCCGACGGCGCTCGCAATCATGAGGGCGATGCAAGGGAGTTTGGGACGTCCGCACGCCATGTCCGTCCGTGCGTTCGCTCTCAACTTAACGGTAAATCTTTAGAACTCTCGCTCTCCCTCTCCCTCTCCCTACCCCCTCCCTCTAGCCCGAGACCGTGATAAGTGCCTGTACCTAACCTATCGCCAAACACGACGATACGCGATAAGATAAGCAGCAACACACGCCTGTCAGACCCGCGATAATGACTTCCCCGCGAGCGACAAGCAAGGTAGCTGCGAGGCCAAGCGTGCATGGGTCCCTCCCTCCCTCCCTCCCTTCCTCGCTCCCTCCCTTCCTCCTCCTTTCCATTACTTTCCTTCTCTTTCCCCCTCTTTCCCTCTCTATCCCCTGCTCCCTCCCTCCCTCCTTCTTCCCCCCTCTTTCGCTCTCTATCCCCTGCTCCCTCCCTCCCTCCTTCTTTCCCCCTCTTTCCCTCTCTATCCTCCCTCCTTCTCTCTCCCTTTCTCAACTGAGGTGACACATACACGCCCTTTCAACGATACATCGGGACATCGACTGAGAGGCCTTTCGGAGAATCTCCCTCACTCCTCGATCTTCACCTCTCCGTAAACATGAGCACTCGAAAAAGGGGGAAGCCGACGAGAAAGAAGTTAAAGAAGAGAGGAGAAGAGAGGAGAGGAGAGGAGAGGAGGAAGAAAAAGAAAAGAGAAGAGAGTAAAGAGAGAAGAAGAAGAAAAAGAAAAAGAAAAGAAAAAAGAAAAGAGACTGGCAAACTCTGCAAAGACAGAGTGCCTCCCCCCCTCCCCCCCACACGCCCTCCGTCCCAAGAACACGACGCGCGCGGCCTCCGTAGCGTACCGTTGACCGTGTGTCCGCGGGAGAAAACACTGGCCTGCACCGCGGCCGAGCGAAGGAGCGGGAAATAGATGCGAGAGAAAGATGGAGAGAAGAGGAGAGGAGAAAGATGAAGGAAGGGGATTCCGAAAATGAGGAGAAAGATGAAGAGACGGGGATGCTGGAAATCTGGGGAGAAAGACGACGAGAGGCAAAAGAGAAGGATGAAGAGAGGGGATGCTGGGAAGAAGGGGATAAGGTAGGCGAGAGGCGGAGAGGTGGAAAGAAACAAAAGTATACATAAATACACAAATATATCTATGATGACCTTGGAATTTTCTCTTCGTAATCATGCTCGAGATATCACCTAATTATCTCCGATAAGACTCGTTAAAAATCAAAAAGAATTATTGCTTTGAGAAGGCAAGAGAGAGGGGGGAGTGGGGGTGGGGAGAGGGAGGGAGGGAGGGGGAGGGAGGGGGAGGGAGAGGGAGGGAGAGGGAGGGAGAAGGAGGGAGAGAGAGGAGAGAGAGAGAGAGAGGAGAGAGAGAGAGAGAGAGAGAGAGAGAGAGAGAGAGAGAGAGAGAGAGAGAGAGAGAGAGAGAGAGGGAGAGGGGGGGGAGGCAGAAAGTTACCCCCCCCTTCTCCTGATACCACTCGATACCCTCACCGCCCCCCCTCCCCCCAAGGTCAAGGTTCAAGAAACAACGGATCGAGCGCTCGTGTGCACATCCCCCCCCCCCACACCTGCCTCCACTCCTGAAGCCTGAAGTCATAACAACTGAAAGAGCAGATTATTTCGTAAGTCCTTTATCAGCGCGTTCGGGATGACGAAGAGACTGGGGAAGGGAGGGGAAAGGAGGGGGAAGGAGGGGAAGAGGGGGGGTAGGGAGGAAGAAAAGGAAGGAAGGAGCGCGAAGGGAGGAAAAGGAAAACAGAAGGTGCTAGAAAGTAAGGTCAAGGCATTACACCAATCACGAAATCATCCTCTCCCTCTCCCACCCCCCCTCCCACCTCTCCTCCCTTCATCTTCCCTTCCCCCCCTCGCACCACCTCCCTCCCTTACCCCCCATCTCTCCTCCATCCACCCCCCATCACCTCCCCCTCCCACCTCCCCCCTTCACCCCCTCCTTTCACCTCCACCTTCCCCTCCCCCCTTCGCCACCGCCAACCTTCGTCCGGTGGCTGCCCGCAGATGACGACAGAGCGGTCAGATGGCGTCGCGCGCGCCCGCCCGCCCGCCCGCCCGCCCGCCCGCCCGCCCGCATGCTCCAGACGCCCGCTGCTGAACATGATTTAACTGGGTGGGCGGGGGAGAGCGCAAGGAAGGCCGGGAAGGTGACTTGATATACGGACAGATTAAACATAGATAGATAGATAGATAAATGAAAATGAAGAGGGAGAGGGAGATAAAGAGACAGACCGACTGAGAGGGTGTAAGGAGGAAGGAGGGAAGGAGTGGGAGAGGGGGGAAAAGAAAGAGATAAGAAATAAAGAAAAAGAGAGAGCTGGTGATGAATGCACCTCCAGGACAGATAATCAGGCTGACCAACCACAGCGGCCTCGCACGCACCCAAACTCGAGGAATCTGTCAGTCCGTCTGTCAGTGTTCTCTTTCTTCTCCTTTCCCTGCTTCATCATCACCCCCTCCCCCCCTTTCCCTCTCCTTCTCTTTTTAGGTGTTTGTGTGTGTGCGAGTGCGTGTGCAACGTGCGGGCGGGCGGGCGGGCGTGTACCAGATTCCCCAAAACGAGAAGGAATCTAAAAAACGAATCCCTCAGCTAAACTTCGCGTCCGAAAAGCTAATTAGCAAAAGCCGAATCGAACACCTCCAGCTCTGCCCACGGGCCTCCTCTCACTGGCTTCTGCTCTCTCGTCTCCCTCTTTTCCCCTTGCTGTCTTTTCTTCTCTCCTCCTTCCTTCTCTTCTCTCCCCCTCCCTCTCCCTTCTCCCTGCTGGCTCCGCCTCTCCCCTCTCTCTCCCTTCCTAATGCTTTCATGCGTCTCCCCCCCTTCTCCATTCTCCTTCCAACTCCTCCCTTCGACTGGCTTTCTTCTCCACTCTCCTTCCCCCTTTCTCCCTTCCCATTCCTCTCCCTCTCTCTCTCCCTCTCCCTTCTTGCTTTCTTCTCTCTCCTCCCCCCTTTCTCTCATCCCATTCCTCTCTCTCTCCCTCTCCTTTCTCCTTGCTCTCTTCTCCTCTCTCCTCCCCTCTTTCTCTCTTCCCATTCCACTCTCCCCGACCAGTACCCCTTCCCCCCTGCCACTGGGGCGTGGCAACCCGAACCGTCCGCATCAGCTGAGACTGAGACCGCGGCTGCTCCTCCGTCGTGAGCGGGCGGCGCCACACACGGGCAGGTGCGAGCAGGTGGCGCTGGGCTAACGTGCCGCTGCGCACTCGTCAACCACGCTTGCATCTACACGCGTACACGTACACACATTCATTCGCTCACTCACTCACTCAAACAGTCACTCACACACTCATTCACTCACTCACACTCACACACATTCATTCACTCACTCACACACACACACACACACACATTCATTCACTCACTCACACACACATTCACTCACTCACTCACACTCACTCACTTACACTCACACTCACTCACACACACGCAGACGGAATAAAAACCGCACTATACCGCATAACGAATTTGTGTTGGTAAACACGGATACTCGCCCACACGCACGCAATCTAGGGTACGGTACTCATAGGCGTGTTTGAGGATAGCGCACTTTCGAAGCCGCGGTAACGAGCATTTTCTTATGGAAAGTGTGGAAGGAAAGGAAAGGGGGGAGGAGGAGGAGGAGGAGGAGGAGGAGGAGGAGGAGGTGGAGGAGGAGGAGGAGGAGGAGGAGGAGAAAAAGAAGTTGGTGAATGTGGAAGTGGAAGAGGAATACGAAAAAAGAACGAAAAAGGGTAGAGAAGAAAAGAACGAAGGGAAGGAGAGGGGAAAGAAAACGACGATAAGGGGAGGGAGGTTGGACTTGAGGAGTGGTGGATGAGGGGGAGGAGGGGGGGAGGGGAGAAATCCGTCGGCGACTGTAATTTCCCGATCGGGAGCGACACGCCCCCAGCCGCCGAGGACCAGGGAGAAGGCGGGAGGGGTGGGGGAGGGAGGAGGATGGAGACAGGAGGAGAAAGGGGCGAGGGGGGGGGGGGGTTATCGCCTGAGGCTTACTTTCGACAGGACACCGAAAGCAACACGAGAGGGAAACAGGTGACGGTTGAAAAACAATGAGGAAAAAATTATACTACATATTTACAGGTGTATATATACATATACATATACATATACATATACATATACATATACATATACATATACATATACATATACATATACATATACATATACATATACATATACATATACATATACATATACATATACATACACATACACATACACATACACATACACATACACATACACATACACATACACACACACACATACAGAGAAACCCCCAATTACGTCACAGTGACGTCACAGCACAGTCTCACCGTGACTCACGCGCTCCCTTTCACCACCACCGGATGTACTTACTTAATTCCAACCTCAACCCCCCTCCCCCCACTACCCACGTAGCCCCAACACCCCTAAAACCCCCTGTTCAAGAAGATGGCCCCCAAGACCGCAAAAAAGGACCGCATGTCCCCCGATCATCCGAAGACATTTCGCCGGCCTTTTCCCTCCCCTCCCTCCTCCCCTCCCACCCACCCTCCGTCCCTTCTCCCCCCATTACGCCAAAATTACAGGGAATCCAGCCTGCCTGCCTTCTGTATGGCCTTGGCGCTGCTGCAATCTCTCCCCTCCCCCTCTCCCTCTCCCCCTCCCTCCCTTCTCCCACCCCCACTCCTATCACAAGGCAGAGCCGACCGCAAAGGCATAGCATTTAGTCATCCTTTGTGCATCGCCACTTAACATCCCCAATCTCCCTCTCAATAGTTTGTGAGAATATTTTCCAATTTTCTATATTCCCTTTTCTGTTGTTGTTTTTCTTCTTCTTCTCATTGACGAGTATATTCTCTCATATTTTCAATTTTCTATATTCACTTTTCTTCTGTTGTTTTTTTTTCTTTTTTTCTCATTAACGAGTATATTCTCTCCCATTTTCAATTTTCTATATTCACTTTTTTTGTTGTTGTTTTTCTTCTTCTTTTTTTTTCTCACTGACGAATATATTCCCATTTCTTCTTCACTCCTACAATACCCTTTCAAACCTTTTACAATTCCCCGCCACAGGAATCGGCAGGTCAAATCTCTTCATTCATCTCAGCCTCTACAATCACTGGCCGACTGGCTCTTCGAATCCAATCTTCCAATCAATACAATTAGCGCCACACTATCGACTGCAGTACAAAAGCCTACCGCGTCCAATCAGCGTAACGTAACTAAACACTACCCCCCCCCCCCCAAACACACACAAATTCACGACTGTGGGGAAATGTGGGCGAAAGTACGGGGGGAGGGGGGGGAGGTGAGGGAGAGAGGGGGGGGGCGAAAAATAAATCTACCTACAAATAACTTTGTTTAAACCCAACAGCATCGCCTCTGCGTATCAACATCAAAATCAACAACAACAACAAAAGCACTTAGCAACAACAGAGTAGGGGAAGGGGGGGGGTGAAGTGGTGGGGGTGCCAACGATCGACTTGATCCGACTCGATACTAACCGTCAATCACTTTCTCCTCATCCACCGAGTCCTCTGGATGAGCATGCACGGACAGTCGGGTGGATGAATGGACGAATGGATGGATGGATGGATGGACGGTCACCACAGGCGGGAGCAAGATTGTTAAAAGATTTATGGATTTAGATGAGGAAAAAATAGTCACACAAAGAAAGAAAGAAAAAAAAAGAGAGAGAAATGAATTATTATAAAATAGGCAAGAAAAATATGATGATGGTTTAAGACGGAAAAATACAAGAGACAATCAAGATGGACAAAACAAAAACAAAAAAGACAGAGAAAACCTATAATGAAAGATTCAAGAAAATCAGAAAATTGAAGACAAGAAAACAGAAAGGACAACTTACAAACGCCGCTCGAAAACTCACCTCTCTGTTTCTCGTTTTCTGTGAAAGAGAGAAAAGAAAACGTCGATTAGTTTCCTCGTTGGATAAAAAAATAAAAATCACTCCAGTACAAACATATACAGCAATCGCAACATCAAAATACAATAATAAAATACAAAAAAAAAAGAAAAAGAAAAAGAGAAAAAATGCTAAAACAATCTCTCATGTACGGAAGCAGGGAAATAAAAGCTGGGAAAGGGGGGGGGTCAGCAAAGCGAAGTCAGCTGGTAAGCCTATCCATATGGCTTCCGCTGCTCGTCCCCTCGTCCTCTGGTGGTTTCGTCTGTCTGTCTGTCTGTCTGTCTATCTGTGTCTGTCTGTCTGTCTGTCTGTCTGTCTGTCTGTCTGTCTGTCTGTCTGTCTGTCTGTCTGTCTGTCTGTCTGTCTGTCTGTCTGTCTGTCTGTCTGTCTGTCTGTCTGTCTGTCTGTCTGTCTGTCTGTCTGTCTGTCTGTCTGTCTGTCTGTCTGTCTGTCTGTCTGTCTGTCTGTCTGTCTGTCTGTCTGTCTGTCTGTCTGTCTGTCTGTCTGTCTGTCTGTCTGTCTGTCTGTCTGTCTGTCTGTCTGTCTGTCTGTCTGTCTGTCTGTCTGTCTGTCTGTCTGTCTGTCTGTCTGTCTGTCTGTCTGTCTGTCTGTCTGTCTGTCTGTCTGTCTGTCTGTCTGTCTGTCTGTCTGTCTGTCTGTCTGTCTGTCTGTCTGTCTGTCTGTCTGTCTGTCTGTCTGTCTGTCTGTCTGTCTGTCTGTCTGTCTGTCTGTCTGTCTGTCTGTCTGTCTGTCTGTCTGTCTGTCTGTCTGTCTGTCTGTCTGTCTGTCTGTCTGTCTGTCTGTCTGTCTGTCTGTCTGTCTGTCTGTCTGTCTGTCTGTCTGTCTGTCTGTCTGTCTGTCTGTCTGTCTGTCTGTCTGTCTGTCTGTCTGTCTGTCTGTCTGTCTGTCTGTCTGTCTGTCTGTCTGTCTGTCTGTCTGTCTGTCTGTCTGTCTGTCTGTCTGTCTGTCTGTCTGTCTGTCTGTCTGTCTGTCTGTCTGTCTGTCTGTCTGTCTGTCTGTCTGTCTGTCTGTCTGTCTGTCTGTCTGTCTGTCTGTCTGTCTGTCTGTCTGTCTGTCTGTCTGTCTGTCTGTCTGTCTGTCTGTCTGTCTGTCTGTCTGTCTGTCTGTCTGTCTGTCTGTCTGTCTGTCTGTCTGTCTGTCTGTCTGTCTGTCTGTCTGTCTGTCTGTCTGTCTGTCTGTCTGTCTGTCTGTCTGTCTGTCTGTCTGTCTGTCTGTCTGTCTGTCTGTCTGTCTGTCTGTCTGTCTGTCTGTCTGTCTGTCTGTCTGTCTGTCTGTCTGTCTGTCTGTCTGTCTGTCTGTCTGTCTGTCTGTCTGTCTGTCTGTCTGTCTGTCTGTCTGTCTGTCTGTCTGTCTGTCTGTCTGTCTGTCTGTCTGTCTGTCTGTCTGTCTGTCTGTCTGTCTGTCTGTCTGTCTGTCTGTCTGTCTGTCTGTCTGTCTGTCTGTCTGTCTGTCTGTCTGTCTGTCTGTCTGTCTGTCTGTCTGTCTGTCTGTCTGTCTGTCTGTCTGTCTGTCTGTCTGTCTGTCTGTCTGTCTGTCTGTCTGTCTGTCTGTCTGTCTGTCTGTCTGTCTGTCTGTCTGTCTGTCTGTCTGTCTGTCTGTCTGTCTGTCTGTCTGTCTGTCTGTCTGTCTGTCTGTCTGTCTGTCTGTCTGTCTGTCTGTCTGTCTGTCTGTCTGTCTGTCTGTCTGTCTGTCTGTCTGTCTGTCTGTCTGTCTGTCTGTCTGTCTGTCTGTCTGTCTGTCTGTCTGTCTGTCTGTCTGTCTGTCTGTCTGTCTGTCTGTCTGTCTGTCTGTCTGTCTGTCTGTCTGTCTGTCTGTCTGTCTGTCTGTCTGTCTGTCTGTCTGTCTGTCTGTCTGTCTGTCTGTCTGTCTGTCTGTCTGTCTGTCTGTCTGTCTGTCTGTCTGTCTGTCTGTCTGTCTGTCTGTCTGTCTGTCTGTCTGTCTGTCTGTCTGTCTGTCTGTCTGTCTGTCTGTCTGTCTGTCTGTCTGTCTGTCTGTCTGTCTGTCTGTCTGTCTGTCTGTCTGTCTGTCTGTCTGTCTGTCTGTCTGTCTGTCTGTCTGTCTGTCTGTCTGTCTGTCTGTCTGTCTGTCTGTCTGTCTGTCTGTCTGTCTGTCTGTCTGTCTGTCTGTCTGTCTGTCTGTCTGTCTGTCTGTCTGTCTGTCTGTCTGTCTGTCTGTCTGTCTGTCTGTCTGTCTGTCTGTCTGTCTGTCTGTCTGTCTGTCTGTCTGTCTGTCTGTCTGTCTGTCTGTCTGTCTGTCTGTCTGTCTGTCTGTCTGTCTGTCTGTCTGTCTGTCTGTCTGTCTGTCTGTCTGTCTGTCTGTCTGTCTGTCTGTCTGTCTGTCTGTCTGTCTGTCTGTCTGTCTGTCTGTCTGTCTGTCTGTCTGTCTGTCTGTCTGTCTGTCTGTCTGTCTGTCTGTCTGTCTGTCTGTCTGTCTGTCTGTCTGTCTGTCTGTCTGTCTGTCTGTCTGTCTGTCTGTCTGTCTGTCTGTCTGTCTGTCTGTCTGTCTGTCTGTCTGTCTGTCTGTCTGTCTGTCTGCATCGGCGTATCTACTTACCTACCTTTTCCTTCCCTCTATCCATTCCCCCTTCCATTACGACGTCCCTTCTTCCCTCTCCTCACCCTCTCCCCCTCTCTCCTTCCAACCCCTAATCCTTCTCTCCATCCTCCTCCCCCTACCATCCTCCCTCTCCCCTCCCTTCTTTTCACTTCCTTCATCTCTCCCCTACATTTCCCTCCCCTCCCCTCCGCTCCCCTTCCCTTCCGTTACCTTCTCCTTCCTCCACCTCTCCCCCCCCCCTTCCCTCCCCTTCCCTTACTTTACCTTCCCCTTCCTCCCCCTCTCCCCCCTTTCCCTTGCCTTTTCTACCCCCCCCCCTCTCTTCCTCCCCTTAAGAGGCTATCGCAGCACGACACGTTAATTATCTGGTCAGAATATTCACGAGAGTCTAAATCCGGATACGCACATTGATTGCCCACACGATCTCTCCCAACTTTTTTTTTTTCATTTTCACTCTCTTTCGCTTTCTCTCTCACTCTCATCTTTTCTTTCTTCATCCGTATATGCACACTGATTGCCCACATGATATTTCCCTTTTTTTCTCTCTCTCTCTCTTACTCTCTTACACTCTCACTCACTCACTCTCTCTTTTTACTGGAAATCAATAACGTTTTGTTTTCCATTTCTTCTCCTCTCTTTTTGTTTGTTCTGTCAGCATATCAATACATACATTTGTCTGTCTATGTATACACATATGTCTAGATATGTTCATACGTCTCTCTCTGTATGTCTGTATATGTCCATTTTTATGCTTATCTGCCTATATTTGTACATTTGTCGATCGATATATCTGTCTGTGTCTATATGTTTGTCTATCTATATGTTTATCAATCCAAAAGTTTATCTACACCAGTTTATCAATCTATACGTTTACCTATCTATCTGTTTATCTATATGTTAGTCTATCGGTCTCCCTTCCTGCGTCGATCGGCCAAGCCAGGCAGCCAGCCAGCCTGCCATGCTGCGGACCTGCCATCCTGTCAGCCAGTCCCTTCCTCCAGCGTCCGAAACGAGGGCGTGGACGACGACAGCGGTCAGGGAGACGAAGCCGAGGACAACAACGGCAACTAAAGTAAAACTATGGACAAGAACGAGGGGCGAAGAGTGGAGAGAAAGAGAGAGAGAGAGAAAAAAAAACAATACAAAATTATAGTTAAATACGGCAATACAAATCGTGAGCTCGCATAAAAAGCAACTAGAGGGAACTATGGACAAGAACAAGGGGGGGGGAGAGTGGGGGGAGTGGAGAGAGAGAATAAAAAACGTTACAGAATTATAAAGTTAAATACAATACAAATCGGGAGCTCGCATAAAAAGGGAGATGCAACTGAAGAACTGCTTATGAAGAAAGGAAGAAAGGAGGACTCAGAAGAAGAATCAGGAGATGAGGGAGAGGTGAGGTGAGGAAGGAGGAGAAGGAAGGGAAGGCTAAGGAAGATGTTGAGGGGATCTCCTTCCTAGGGAAGGGTGAAGGAGTGGGGGAGGAAAGGGGAGGGGGTAGGGCGAAGGAGGAGGAGAAAGAGAAGGGAGAGAAATAAGAGGAGGAGGAGGAGGAGGAGGAGGAGGAGGAAGGCGAAAAAGATGAACAAGAACATGAAAAGCAAGAACAAAAACAAAACAAAACAAAACAAAACAAAAAAAGGAAAACAGGAACAAACAGAACGAAGCCGAAGCCAAAGCCAAAGCCAAAGTAGAAAAATCGAAAAAAAAAAATCAAAATGAACAACAACAAAGACGACCACGAAAAAAACAACAGCAGCAGGAGGCGGAGCAGCAGCAGCAGCAGCAGGTCGGGGCCACCATTGTACATCATCTGGACAAATGTCTACCTAATGACCCGACCCGAAGGACATCACTGTCACGGGCAGGGGCAGGAGGAGGGGGGGGGGGTCGGCACGGAGGGAAAGAGCGGCCGCCAAGAAGGGAAGGAACCGGATGAAAGAGGGGGAAAAAAAGGAGGGACGAATGAGGGGAAATGGAGGAGAGAAAAATGAGAGAGCAGACTGAAGAAAGAACAGCTAATTTTGAGTGTCTGAAAAGAACAAAGAAGAGAAGAGAGGAGAAGAGAAGAGAAAAAAGGAGAAGAAAAGAGAAGAAAGGAGAAGAGAAGAGAAAATAGAAGAGAAAGAGAAAGAGGGAAGAAAAAACGAACAAACAAACAATCCATACGAACGGCATGAAAGCATAAAGAGAGAAGAGAAAAGCCATGAGAAAAAGAGCTGGCACAACATAAAATCGATGCCAGAAGACAAAATAAAGGGGACGCATGGCTCGGGCAGTCAAGGCAGGGCTTCCCACTCAAAAGCGACGAAAAAAAGGAGGCAACAGAGATAAGGCACGGAGGCAGCATGCTTCCAGGTGTGCGCGTGTGAGTGAGCGAGTGAGTGAGAGTGAAAGTGAGA